GTAAGTCCGCAGACATACCGCTGTGCTACTGGGGGCGATACCAAACGAAAAGTAACGGACAAGTAAACATATATGAATTGAGAAAAAAATATTAATAACACAGTGTTATGTGTTATGTTATGTGACCAAACTAGCTGGGCTTCTAATCTCTCTATCTATGAGCTAGCTGATAGGGTGAGGGACAGCGAAACGATATTCAAGAGAACAAGAGCAGGTAAGAGCTAGAGAAAATAGAATAAGAGAGAGAACTGTGTGGATAGCCTATATTTGTGGATAAATCAGAGTGTGGTATTCCACAATCTTTAGATTACATACTTCAACCATATTTCTATGTGCATAATCCAAACCAACCCAAGCAGGTTTATACAGATTTCTGTATTACTTTCTTGAATATGCTAATTTCTCAGATTTGCACGCTGGCTTGAGACTTATGAGCAAAAGTTGCAGTACGTAAACTTCCACATGTTATGGAATGCTCAAATATGATGATACTGAATCATCACACATGCAAGTACAAAACATTAATAAACACTGAATGAGGTTTTGATTAAAATTTACACACTGCGTAAAACTAGTATAAGATAACACACATTTAAGTAGCATAAAGTTTGAGTCGAATAAATCTTCAGGTATTTCTAAATCTCTGCACAACCGACGTTACTAGAGATCACTTTGTAGCATAAGCCTAAGGTATTTTTCAACGCCAACTTTCGTGGGAAAAAACCAGGAAATCCAAAGGGAAAATGACACCTTTGCAATCTATGTGACTAGCTCAAGAGTAAAGCAACTGCATCCCAAAGCTATACAGAGGGATGAGTATATTATATTAAGAACATAATGAATAATCAAATCAGCTGGTCACATAACGACCACAGTTGATACAGAGTAAAAGTGGAACCTAATCTAGCAGAACTGCATTTTGATATTGTTTGGTGTCTTGTGCGTAGTGTGATTCCATCAAAAAATGTGTCGTTTTTTTAGAAGGGCACGTAATAGCTCTTTCTAAGGCAACATATTCATACACTTGATCATAAATATACGCTCAGATCAAGGATTTAGAATTTCCACAATGGGCATATCACTTGTACTTAATGGCTTTGGAAAACAAAGGAATGCGGATTTACTTGGTGAACGAGGACCACCCAAAAAAAGATCTATGATAAACCGAAACCTAGTCATGGTAAGAAAAACATGGGGTCTTGTAACAGGTGATCATCTACAAACATAACAGTCAGTGGCAAAATCCGTCCACGTGTCCTAGGCACCAGTGTGCAACATAATCAAGAAGGATCTCCATCTGTAAAAGAAATATCAGCCACGTGTACAGAAGTTGTTTCCACAAGATATCCACAGGAAGTTATACTACTTCATACGAAGACATACCAGTCAAATGAAGGGACGCAATGCCTATGGATATCTGACTGATCAAACTGTTGAAAAGAGTGCTAGAAAATCACCTTTCTCACTTATTATATGGACTATGGAAAGCATGAATGAGAAAGGAGATGTGTTTGAACATGACAGCCTTACAGCAGAGCCTTTTGCAGTGGAACCTATGCTGAATAGCTACTTTTAAAATGCACAGTCGTCAAATAGAGCATGTCCAGACATGCTGACGTGGACTGTAATGACATGGTGAGGCTTCAAAATCGTTTTATTAATATAACGTACTCATCCTCTGTAGATACAGTATGTGCGTCAAATGCATGTAACTGTGAATAACTTTGAAACTTTTAGGTTACGAGAAATATTCATTTATCTGAACTAATATTAAAATAAATATCCACATACCACACAGTCACACAAAATCATGTTTTCTTAAAATTCTAATTGAAATAGTACTTTTCTGATAATTAAAAATTTAAATGTGTCTATACCTATCATGTATTCTTAGAAAATTAGTAGAAGATACAGCCCTATTAACAAATAACTTAAATTATACATTTTGTGTACTGTTGGGATAGATAAATAATGTTTTCAATGATGGCTCCCATCTCTTAAATGACTCACCATAATGGATCTGTTTTATTGTTTTAGAAAAAAAATGTTTTTTTTGTTTTTTTATTTTGACGTTCAAGCCAATGTTTTCTCTTTTAGGAACTGGAATAGGTCTGATGTATCTTCCAGCCATTGTTTGTGTCACTTTCTATTTTGATAAAAAACGTGCCTTTGCTACTGGAATTGCTGTCTGTGGTTCAGGATTTGGAACTTTTGCTCTAGCTCCACTAACGGATTGGTTAGTAGATTATTATGGGTGGAAAGGTGCAATGATGATTGTATCTGGTATACTACTCAATGGCATTGTTTTTGGAGCACTTTATAGGCCCTTGCAAGTAAGCAAACCATCTAAAAAAAGTCACACTGAAATTCATATTTCGCAGTCCAAGCCAAAAAAGCTTTGTAATGAAGCTAAAGTTGAAACTTACAATAAAAGAGCAAATACATTTTGTTTGAAAGAGAGACATGTGATGAATGTTGACAACACTACACTGAAACCTTTTCAATCCTATCCAGACTTGTTATTTGGAAACAACTTTCACTTAAAGAGGGACTTCGCAGCAAACCGTAGAAACAGTACTCTTTCGGTTGTAGATTCATCATCACCAGACAACGGTAATCCCCACCACCATCGTCATAAAGAAATTTTATACCATAAAGATACTTTTTACAGTGCAAGTCTTGTGAACTTTCCTGAATTACAGTCATCTCCAGTAGCACACACTACAAGTATTATATCTATCTCTAAAGAATTTCATCAAGAAAAGGAACGGAAAATACTTAGGTACTTTCACTGTTCTAAGGAGATGAGAGATGCCTTACATGAAATGGTAGACTTTTGTCTTCTGAAAGATATCGTTTTTCTGCTGTTTGGACTTTCCAACTTTTTTACCAGCATAGGATTCAATGTTCCTTATTTGTACATCAAAGCTAGAGCTATGGAAATGGGCATTGCAGAAGATGAAAATGCTAGCTTTCTTCTCTCTGTGATTGGAATTACCAATACTGCAAGTCGAGTAATCTTTGGATATCTGTCTGACAAGAACTGGATGAACAGGTTATGGTTGTACAGCTACAGTCTAATAATCTGTGGTATTTCAACTGCTTCGAGTTCTTTGTGTAACACTTATATATTGATGGCTGTTTATGCTGCAACATTTGGTGCTACAACAGGTGAGAGACATTATTTTAATCAGAGCCTTTTAAGGTGCATCATCTATGATTAGCTTTTTAAAACTATAATTATATGTTTGTACTGCGCTTTTGTATATTTATTTTTAAAACATATATTTGAACTGCATGATTAAATGAGTAGCTACAGTATGTAGCCATATTTTAGGCCTGATAACAAGGGTATAAATTTCAAATCCCTTTTCATCAATGTTTTGTTTGTTTGTAGTTAAGCAAAAAGCTATACGATGGTCTATCTGTGCTCTACATACCACGGGTATCGAAACTTGGTTTGTAGCGTTGTAAATCCGCAGACATACCACTGTATCACTGGGGGGGGGTACTCAATGTTGTTGTTTTTTCAAAACAAAAAACTTTATTACAAACAGCATTGGATTTTCACTACAACTAGTAATAACAATGTTAATAGAACTAAAGCATTTGAAGTTTATGACAAATTACTTTGATTTGATATTGTTCTTTATGACAGAGAGATAATAATTATAATGTAAGATTCTTCCTGCAGGTGCCTATATTAGTCTTACTTCTGTCATCTTAGTGGATCTTCTTGGGTTGGATACGATGACAAGCACTTTTGGTTTGCTTCTGGTTTTTATAGGAGTTGCCTGTCTTCTAGGTCCTCCAATAACTGGTGAGTTTTTAAACAAGTTCCAAACAATCTATCTCATGAAATCCATCATTAGTATTAAATACGTTTTTGTAAGGTATAGCAAAACAGCAGTATTTGTGATTTCCATCCAATAACGTTCATGTAAATATAAAAATTTCTATTCCAATTGCCAAAATTACTTTGCTACAATAACATCACCGAATAAGTAAATATATTTGTTTGTGTTTTAATACTGTTGCAACGTTAATTGTGAACATAGTTCTACATTGTGTGTCAAAGTGAATGCATCCTATTGAAATACTACAGAATAAATAAACTAATTCATTATCATTACGTGGACTAGACTTGGCATTATTTTTACCAAATAATCCAAAAAAAAAAAGACAACAACAACAACAACAAAAATACACACTTAGAAAATGTTACAAGATTTAGCATTTGCTACAGCTACCCTCACTTATAGGCCTAACTTCAAATACAAAACTTTTCAATAAAAACTATTATAGGCTCAATACACTAATAATGTTTAAGTAAATATATTTGAGTAATAACAAACCCGAATAACTTACTGTTTAGCTAACAGAAGCATTAACTCTCATTGACCTGAATAACTTTATTTGATCAACAACTCCGTCAGTCTTTCCTTTATTCATCTACTCGATCATCCATTCTTGTATTTGCACTGAATTCTCACTTCTATCAAGTAAGGGAAGTTTCTAGATTCTAGTCCTACTTTTATGAGCTTTCTAGATCAAGTGACTTCATCATAATTGTCACCTCCTTCTATAAGACAACTGAATTATAACATTGAACTTATAGCTTACAACACTGCACCATTTCTGGATTGTATTTCACTTCTTGGTGGTACAGTGAACAATCTCCTTGTTGTTGTTAGAAGTTCAATCTCTGGTGTAATAATTTGTATATAGTACACAGGGATTACCTGGTAATAGACTGTGAAGCTATTTGATGCTAGCCTAGCTTCGAATCCATGCCTTTGCATGAAGTCAACCCCCAGCAACAATCTTATTCAATGCCAATTACTTACATATCGTCAGCTATAAAGAAGCTCTTGAAGGATAACAGAAAGAGGGAACTGGCATAAATGTGGGGAGCATTGCTATTGTAACTGAGACTGTGAGGAATCAACACCTGTTATTAAGCCAAGGAGACAACACCTTAAGGATGAGTCTTCAGACCCAATCAGATAAACTATTAAAGGCATCATATTGAAGTTATGGGTGAGATATGTGGACATATCACGTATTTTCTATCTTCTACAGAAATCTTCCAATTTTTTTATTATTTAGTTTCCACATTGTTATGGCAGCAGTACATGGACCAGAAAGTTGCTAACATTACTTGGTTCTAGTTTCTTTGATCTCTTTATATAAATTTCATAATTATATTTTATATTTTATAATTATATTTCATAATTATATAAGGTATCCTGGTTGAATGGACTAGAACTGGAATATCCTTAACTAGTTGATAATGAAATTAACTGAAAGTGATAGCCGACCAATGCTGTCAGGAAACAGAGGTCAAGAGGTTATACAGTCTATTGAACAAGGAAAGCATGTTAACATTTTAGATTTAAGCATGCTTTTGAGCTCAGTTCTCCATTAGCCAACCAACAGTAAGGATTTGTTTTATTTTTGGAAGATCATCATGTTTAGTTTTGAGTATTCAAGTTTGAGAGAGAGGAAGCAAAGAGTCTTAAACTCCAATTAAGGAAGAAAGGACTGTCTTCTCATTCACAGTAGGTCCACACGCTGCTTTTATGCTTATTATCTGAATATAGATTCTGTTTGTTTGTGCAAAACGTGCCTAGGTTAATTTACACACTAAAACGAAATATCAGTCCAATTGTCTCTCTCTCTCACATACAAAAACTTTCATAAATTGCCTAGGTGAACTTTGTGTTATTGTGGATTAAACTATTTAACACTTGTTGGAAAAATGGTCCCACCCATGAATAACATAGGGGATCATAATACAAAGTAGGACTGAAACATCAACCTCCTCTGACGATAGTCTAGGAGAAATGAAAGGGGATAATTAGTTACAGAGAATGGAAGAAGTAAACCACGAGTAAACAGATGTTTCAAGTGTAACTTGAAAGGACATATTTCCCAGAACTATAGCCAAAAGCCTATATTATATAATTTACATAGTCAGCTGTCCATTTAAAAGGATTTACTTTAACAAGATTAAGCAACTTTCCAGGTGAAAGCTGTAACAACTATCAAGCATTGGTATCTGCCCTATCCAATAGATTCGGAGTGACACACTAGAATGAAGTGTCCAGAGCAATGTTTTAAAATTGGATACAGAGAAAAAGGGCAGGAAATTTGAAAAATGAGACAGAAACCTAAAGAAGAAATAGACACAAGATTAAAAGAAGAACAAGAAGAAATATATAGGAAATTATAAGAAGATTAAGGAGTAAGAAACAGGAATTTAAGAGACAAATTAAAAAAAGGGCCTTCATATCCCAAAAAGTAAAAACAAAAATATATCTAATTAGAAACAAGATCAATGAAACTATTGAAGATGTACAGAGAGATTACTCTAATAAGAGTGAAGAAGTACATAAAAGCTGTAATGATAAAAAGTAAAGAAGTACAAAATCAAATCAATGACAGAATAAAACATTTGGAAAAAGAATTAGTAAATGTAAAGATGTAAATGTAATAGTGATCTAAAAACAACCAATTTATAGATGTCATAACATATGAGGCAATGAGAATTAAGTTGAAGCAGAGTATATGTGCAACTTAATTAAAAACATCTCTCCAGTTGGTGATGGAATTTGAATCCATTAAATTCGCAGTTTAGTTTTTTGGATATGGTTTCGAATCCTACTTTTGAGAAAAGTATTTTAACATGTTCTATCGTTGAGTGAGTTACATGGGCGCCCACAGAAATATTTTCAGGGTTGGGGGGCAAAACATGTATGTAGGGGATCAGTTTTTACAGTATAAGTTAACAGTTTGTTTGTTTGTTTGTTTTGAATTTCGCGCAAAGCTACACGAGGGCTATCTGCGCTAGCCGTCCCTAATTTAGCAGTGTAAGACTAGAGGGAAGGCAGCTAGTCATCACCACCCACCGCCAACTCTTGGGCTACTCTTTTACCAACGAATAGTGGGATAATGACCGTCACATTATAACGCCCCCACGGCTGAAAGGGCGAGCATGTTTGGTGTGAAGGGGATTCGAACCCGTGACCCTCAGATTGCGAGTCGAGCGCCCTAACCACCTGGTCATGCCGAGCCATAAGTTAACAGACTAAAACTCTATGTTTTATGTGTCTTAAACGCAAACACAAATTTACAGTTTTAATAAAAATTGCTAAAAATATTTAGTTTAACTACGATGTTAAGTTTACATCATAATACGTGTAATTATTTGTGAAATGAAAGGGGGGGGGCAAATGTTACTTGCTGCGGGCGCCCATGATTAGTTATTTTAAATTACCTGGTAAACATGGTAATGTCAACAGTTCATGTAATAATAATGAAACAGTTTCTTTCTTCTATAACATTTCTGAAGACTACTTCACTTTGACACAAGTTGTAGGCCTAAGTTCACAAACAACGTTGCAACAGGAATTCTGAGACTAATGGCTATGCCTAATTTACAAATAACTTTAGAATTTCCTTGCTAATAGACGCAATAACTTTCACTTCTAACATTGAATAATTTTTCTTTTAACACTTAACTAATTCACTGGTTACTCATCAACTTCCCAGTCAATTCATCAGCTACTCAGTCATTGTCCAATGACCCAGTTTCACTCTACCTATATTTATATTGTACTCCCCTTCCACTGACTACACAGTTTTCCAGATCTAGTGTTGCCAGCTCCACAAAGCAGGAAGTCGCAGACAATACTTTTCAGCAGTAGTTTGATACAATTTTTTGACCTAACAGTAACAAGCCACACTAAATACTATATCTCAGCATTTATTAAAAAGCATCTCTGCACGTTAAAAACAACATTTATAATTTGTTGTAGGGAAAAAGCATGCACACCTCGAATATATGTTCTAGTTCCAAGTCATAGACTATTGTGTTATGTATAATAGATATAAACTAAACTCTTCTGTAACGTACTATATGAAGTCATATTTATTAATTTTTTTAAAACTTCAATACAGGTTTCATTACTTAGTTACAAGTCCTAGAAGAACATGATATGCTCAACTTTGAGCTGCATTAATTTTGCACTCAGCACTGTCACACACGTGGAAGGGTCTTAATACTTGTGTGTGTTCACACCTAGCCAACTTACTGAATAAATCATTAACTGGTCTTGATGAATTTTCTGGCATATCAATTATTGAGTTAGGGAAGTCGGAAATTCTGGTTTCCAATTTTTTTTTGGTAATGGGCTTGCCTGATGATGTGAATGACACTACTTTCTGGGAAGCTGTAGTAGAGCTTAAATTTTTTTGCCACGTTCACTCTTGTTATCGTGAAGTGAAGTGCTCAGATTTGCATCCATGGTTGTGTTGTGAAGTTGTTTCAAGCCTCAGTAGCCAGAAGCCAACTTTGGATAAAAAGAATGTTTTTTGTTAGCAGTGTTCTAACCATAGACATTAACATAATATATATGTATTGAATAATAGTGCAAAACAATTTTTGTGTCCCTTGATATTTTTGTGTCCAGTCTCTCTTCTTTTAGGATTGAGAATGGTCTTATGGTTAGGTTAGGGCTTCAAGGATCTCGTTTCGAGATGTGGTGCTATCAAAACATCCAGTTGAAGAAACACTGGAGCTAGAGGCAAAAGACAACTTTGACAGTTGTCTGAGCTGTGCCCAATAACCTCCTAATCTATACAGCTGGTATTAATAAATTATCAAGCAGCTACGGCAATCAGTTGGTTAGAAAATCCGTAACTGAAAGGAAGTGGTAATCATTTCTATGAAAGCTGTCAGTTGGTATTTCATGGTACAATATGTGCACTATATTGTGTAATTGCCACTTGATTACTTCACAGTTAGGATGGCGTATG